CACTTGTTGGATCACAACATCTCCACCCTTTTCTTTGATTTTCATATCTAACAAATATACACCTGACTGCTTTCTTGTCAAACTTGCTACGTAAATGACTAGGCACAAATACGTAGCAAACGCAACCAAATACTCGGAAGTGGCTAACAGTAGGTTTCATGTTCCATAGTGCCTCAAATGGTGAGATGAAACCTAAACTTGGTTGGGGAAGTTTATTGATCACATGGGCAGCAGTTCGCATTGCTTCAGCCTAAAATCTTCCTCGGACATTCTTCGCATGTAGCATGCTTCGACAAATTTCTGCAAGATGTCGATTCTCTCTCTCAGCTACACCATTTTGTTGTGGTGTGTTGGCATATGTGAATTGATGACGTATACCACATTTTTGTAGATAACGCTTGAATTCTTCTGAGGTGTATTCTCCTCCATTGTCTGAACGTAGACATTGTATCTTCATTCTCACTTCTCCTTCGACTATTGTCTTGAACTCTTGAAACTTCGAGAATGTTTCATACTTTTCTTTCATGAAGAAAACTCACACATATCATCAGTAATAGTCAATGAACGTCACCATGTACCGCTTCCCACTGATTGATGTTTGCTTGACTGCACCGAATACATCCGAGTGAATTAACTCTAATGGTTTCTTTGCTCTAAAATTTGACTCCTTGTATGGTGATTGATGAGCTTTACCATACTGGCATCCAACACAAAAGCATGGGTTTCTCTATTATTACCTTTAACTTGTGATAGCCAACATGTCCCAGTCGTGCATGCCATAGATCTGCTATCTCGTTCTTTCGAGTCTTATCTACATATGCAGACTCTACCGAGAGCACATAGACGGACTCCATTCTTCTTCCTTCCATTGTTGGCTTTTCTGAGATCTTAAGATCTGGATATACTTTAACATCTTGTGGGCCAAACAAGACGTAGTTTCCAGATGATGTTAGTTGCAATACCGACAACAAGTTCTTCTTCATAACCGGCACATGATAAACATTATGTAGTGACACCATGTCAGATTTATTACCAGGAGTGATCGTTGTTTTGCCAATCTAAGCAATTGGACGTCGTGCATTGTTAGTTGTAAGTACCATGTGACTCCCTTTGTACTCCTTCACGTCTTGTAGTTTCTTCTGATCGCCAGTCATGTGATTGGAGTATCCTGAATCAATGATCCAGTCATTCTCATAGTTGATACGCTCTCCCATCATTTCCATGAGTGCCAACTCGTTTTCTTCTATGACACATAATGCCTCAGCATCCCATTCATCCTCTATTTCCTTTTTGGAAGTTACGGCATTGCTTTCCACAGACTTTTTCTTTGACCATCAATCCTTGGACATGTGGCCCCACTTTCCACAATTGTTGCAGTTTCCTTCGAACCTCCTCCCCCGAGAACTCTTATTGTCGGTCTTTTGAGATCTCCATGGTTGTGAGTTTCCTTGCTGACTCTTTGCTTTGTTAGCATTTTTGTATCATTCTTTAGAGGGTGGCTTGAGATTCCTCCGACTTTTACTTGCGTAGAGTGCTTCCTCTTCACTATTCATCATGATGCCTCCCATTTGCTTAGCCATAGCTTCTTGGCTGGCCAGCAAATTCTCAAACTGTACAAGTGATGGTTGAACAGGCCATCCTTGTACAGCAGTAGCGAAGCTGCTATATTATATTTTTTAGTCCATGGATGATGATCCTCTTCATTCAATCTTCTTCAATGATGGATTGCAGATCTAGTTCAGTAATCTCCTGACATATCGACTTGACCTTGTGGAAATATTGAGCAATTGTCATGTCATGTTGTGAGATTGATAATAGCTCGTTCTCCAAACGTTGTAGTCTCGAATCATTCTTCTTTGAGAAAAGAGTCACAAATGTGTCCCAAGCTTCTTTTTGTGTGTTCTCGTCCCAAATATATTCCAACATCTCTTCTGCGATTGTGGTCTTCAAGGATAACATTGCTTTTCCTTCTTTGATTTTCCATTTACGCAAAGCACCATTAACATCTTCCTCTGGCGGCATAGTTTCACTTCCGCCAACGACCTCCCATAGATCATGTCCTTGTAAGTAGGACTTCATACATGTTTCCCACGTTTTGTAGTTGTTGTTGTTGAGTTTCTTGATTCCTTCGACGACTTGGAGATCACCCATCGTGTTGGCAGTCCCTCGATAATACCAAACAAGCTAGTTTCGACACTAAAGTTACAGAGTCACATACTACTCACGATACGAAGAGAATCACTCGTTCTCACTATCAAGAAACCTTGCTCTGATACCAGATTGTTGAACACGACTCTTTATATGGGAAACAACAATACTTTTATTAAGACATTTAAGAAGAACTTACACTTTGAGAGACTACAATACACTTTGCTTTCTTTGAGGCTTTTCTTGGATGGTTTGGAGCAAATGAGCTCCACACCTATTTATAGGCCTCTTAGGAAGCTTCTAGGTACTACAATACACTTACTACTTACTAGATAACTCTAGAACTATCTAACATACTCTATAAGCTTCCATATGTTTCTAGAATGTTCTACCATGTTCTGGAGAGGTCTAGGTTACTCCAATGTCTTCTAGTTAGATCCATAACCTTCCAGGGTCTTCCATGTCATTATAGAGTATTCTAGACTCTTCTGGTATATTATGGGGTCTTCCATAGTCTTCCATAATGTTCTAGAATCTTTTAGAGCATTCTAGAACAAGCTAAATTATTCTAGATAATATTGTTCTATTGGGCTAGTGATGATCTTTAACACCGACCCCTATATACCGAACCATATATGACCGAAGTATAGATGCTCAAACCATAAATAATCGCAGTGAAGGTGCCCGAACCATAAATAACCGAGGTGTAGCTGGGAATTCACTATAATCATGGGAATTCTTGATGAGGTGCATTAATTAGAAGCACGAAAGAAAGGTAGTTATGAACCAACCTGGATTTCATTCGGGTCATGAAAATCAGAACAAGCCCATAAAATTGATGGAAAAAAGAAGTCGAGTGCAGATGCTAGTGCCTGCGTCTTTGATATTGCTCGGTAAGTTCATCTTTAACAACTCATGGAACTGAGGTTGTAAGACTTGTAGAGAACAACATAACAGAGCAAGTGATCTTTGACATTGTTTGGAGCCTGGTATGATGCAGCGAAATGATAGCTGCACAGCAGGGCTTCTATTGACGTGGAATTTGAATGAGAAGTAATTACTGGTGTTCTTGCATAGAAGTCGAACAAAGAGAAAGTGTTGTACTTTTCATGGCGTGGATTGTACTCTCCATTCTCTTGAATCAAATATACCCAAAATGCGTGATGGTTCATTTTTTTTTTTTTTTTGAAATGAGGTAAAGACACTTATAACCGAGTTAAGAAACAGCTACAGATGTAAAGCACTTTTTTTTGGTAAACAACATTAACCCACAAATCTCGTTGTAAACAACTGTAAACCACTAGGAACGTACAACTTTGACAGTTATCTCTTTCTTTCAATCTTTCACATCATGTACTTGCTTAGATTCTTTATTTGTATTATGTTATCGATTATCGAATGTACTTATTTCGAAGCTAAAGATACATCCTTATAAAGGAACGTTTTTTTTTACTATGATTTTCTTATACCACATAATCTTTGCATTTTGAAGATAATATATTCCCTAATAAATGAAAATAATTTTGTCACATGTCACTCTCTCATTAATTTGGACACATGTCATTTTTTGGTATTTTTGATATTTGTTTTTTTCATTGTTATTTTTCTCATTTTTTTTCTATTTTCTTAATTAACACATCATATTTACACCTCAATTAATAATTGTCTTAATTGAAAAAAACCAATAAATTACAATATTAATACTCATATAGTATTTAATATGTTTCATTTTAAATTCAAATTTTGAATTTAAAATTTCAAATTAAATAAAATTTTATTTAAACTTGCATATTAAAATTTTTGTTTTATCAAACCAGTATAATATACGGGTCTCACACCTAGTATTATAATATATTATATGCAAAAGAATACAAACTATCGAGATGTGGGATAAGATTTGCTTTTTTGACCACTTTGTTTATCACCCTTTCAATCTTGATTCTTGTTTGCATTTCTCTTTTACACCAAAACATACTAAAAACGATGTTGGGAGTAAGCACTTTGTAGTTCGGTGTGCGATTGATTTCGGAACGTACGAGACCATGGCTATGTTGCTCGTGGTCCCACGGATGGCGCCACCTAATGTAACCCAGAAAATCGTCATTTGAGTTGATTGAGTCGAGGTCTTGGATGCCTTCTTTGTTGCCGCTAGTGGGCTCCAATGTGATTCCTGTTACATTCATAAACGAGATCGTTAGAGTCGCTCCAGGACTTGCGTTTCGGAAGCGGCCTCCGACAGACAAGTTAGTATCGATACAAAACGAGGTCGGGTTCTTCGATTGGAAGGAACCCGATTGTATGTAGAGAGAGAGAGAGAGAGTTGGAACTTACTTATTGTGTAATGAGAGGTCTATTTATACATAGTTGGATATATCTTTTCTTGGAGAAGAAGCTCAACAGCTAGCTATGAGCTGGCCATGAGAAGGTTGAGGTGACAAATGTACTTTGTGCCTTGGGAAGGAGCAAACCGAAAATGGCCAAACCATAGGAAAAATGGCGAACCGACCGGAAATGGTCGAATCGTCCGGAAATGACCGAATCGTTAAGGAATAGCCGAACCAACCGAAAATGGCCGAACTGTCCGGAAATGACCGAACCGTTAAGAAATGGTCGAACCGTGTGAAAATGACTTAACCGTCAGGAAATAGCCGAACTGTTCAGAAATGACTGAATCGTTAAGAAATAGCCGAACCAACCAAAAATGGCCGAACCGTAAAGAAATGGTCGAACCATTCAAAAATGACCGAACCGTCAAGAAATAACCGAATCGTTCAGAAATGACCAAACTGTCGAGAAATATCGGAACCATTTCTAAAAGGTCGATGAGATACACATATCAACATACTATATATAGCACGGATTCAGAAGTGGGCGATCAAGCATGTATATGAATTACAATTATTATTTTTAATTCAATCCATTACTTTATTAAAACAGATGTGCACGATGTAACACTGATTTTTTTTCTTTCCATTGTAGAAGGTGGCCTGATTCCTAGTCTTCCCAATTATGTTTCTTGGGTACAAGACATAGGGGTAATTTCTTACGGACAACCAGGGAACCCTCCTCCAACATGTTCAAATCTTCATTCTTCACTCCATCGGGAACTTCCCAATCAAACCAGTAAAGAAGGTTTGCCATCATGGACTCTATAGTTGCTGGAACTGTGTTCATCGCTGGGCATGATCTACGTCCCCCTCCAAAAGGGACCATCTCACAATTTCCCCCTCCAAAATCCACATCAATATTCTCAAACCTCTCTGGATAGAACTCAGCTGCATTCTCCCCCCAAGTGCCTGGATCTCTTCCTATCCACCACCCATTCACTATAACACACGTCCTAGGAAGGACGCTATAACCACCAATTTGACAATGGCTTAAGCTTTCATGTGGGATCAACAATGGGGCTGGGGGGTGCAATCTTAGGGTCTCTTTCACCACCATTTTCAAGTATGACATTTTTGTGATATCGAGTTCATGCACTCCTTGTTTTCTTCTACTGCAATTCCGGATTTCACTTTGCAACTTCTGCATCACTCTAGGACTTCTAGTGATCTCGGACAATGCCCAAACCATCGTCACAACTGTTGTATCTATTCCCCCAGTCAATACGTCCTGAAAACTTATTTCCATTAGTTACATAATATTTGCATAAAAATATTAAAAAGAAATCCATTTACCATTACAAGAGCTTTGATGTCTCCTTTGGTCACCCGATCATCAGAAGGATTATCTATCGAAGATAACTCGAGTAAAGTATGGATAAAATCCTTATAATCATCATCATATACTTCGCCAGTTGTATGATTGTAATGGTCATCAATAATCGTCTCAATGTAGGCATCAATGTTACTGAAACATTTCTCTAGCTTAAAATTCCATCCACTAAATTGGTCAATAAGTCGTCCTAACCATGGAAAAGAATCACCAAGAGATCCATTTAATATTTCCATGGTTTCATCAAGCATAACTTCCCATGATGGACCCTTGAGTGGTTCTTCTCTATAGTTCATACCAAACGCCACCGTACACACCACGGCCTTTACTGATGCTAAAAACATCTTGTTTAGGTTCACCACAGTGTTTGATGGATGTGATGATATAGAACGAACCATGCACTCGATCTCTGCCACCAACACATGGTTAAATAACACAGCTCTCTTTGGACCCAGGAACTCAGATACCAAAAGCTTGCGCATCTTCTTCCAGTGATTGTTGTAAGGCGAGAAGGCAATGTCCAAATAGTTGTACGTTAGTCGCTTGGAAGCCTGGGAGATTGGTCGGGAACAAAAGATGTGATCTTGAATTTTAAAGACTTGTTTGGCCATGGCAGAGGAAGATATAACAAGGTAAGGCTTTGAACCAATATGTAGTAGAAAAACTGGGCCATATTCTTGGGAAAGTTGCCAAAGGGCTTGATGACGAGGTTTACCTAGTAGTTGGTGCAAGTTCCCAATTATCGGAAGCTTTGGAGGGCTTGGGGGAAGCTCAGGGACAACCATGGGAAACCTTTTCGATCTTACAGTATACAGAAATAAGCAGAAGAGGGAGAGGACTAGTAGTGTTGTAAGAAGCCATGAAGGGAAGATAGTGAATATCTCCATGTGATTATTCGTGCGTTTGGTTTGATGGCCATATTCCAAGTTTCTCAATGTCCTTTTATAATGGATGTTTCATGCTTGGATATATAATTATGTACCTACCATCTTATATAAATTGGTTGGATGAATAAGTTGGTAAGTGAGCAACGTCGGTCCTACATTATTTTTTATGTTTTTTGTTACGTGTGTATTTAATTTTTTGTAAATATGTTATGTCAAAGTATTATTGTTCTAGAGGTACGTTAAAGTGTAGTAACTTGAATCGATCAATTAAAAATTACTAAAAGAAAAAACCAAAATATATTAAATTTTCACCATATTTGTGAATAAACAATTGTAAACAATTAAATCAAACAACCAGCCAAATATTATAAATTTGTAGCAAGGCAAATATTGTAAACAAAAATTACAAAGTGATTTCTAAGTCATTATATCCTACTTTAAGCTTACAACAACTATATATGAGATCCAAGACAAAGATATAGCTACTATAAAACGAACACATAATCTTTTCTTATCTTCGTGTCCGTTGTTTCCGAGCATCCATGTCATCCAAGAAGTCATTAGGATTACCAAATCAAGCCATTTCTTCTTATTCACCTAATTTAACTAACTAGTGTTGTCCGTCAAAGTAAGGATGGCACAATGTTTGAAATAGTAAGAATATACATTCCACCAATTATAAACTTTGTGCCAAAGAACTTGAGCCATATGACACGAAATAAACAAATATGTACCCATCACAACACTACACTCACAAACGGACAAAAATTTGAGCTTAGATTCACCCCTCTTTTATTGAAAATGTCCAAAGCAATCAAAGTATTAAGCTTGATATGAGCAAACGTCTTTCATAGATTTTGAGTATCCCCGTCTCCAAAGTGTAAAGATTAAGAGCTAGTCGAATAGAAGCCACTATAAAATAGCATGTATCCGTCAATTCCCAAATTTACTAATCAGTATCCGTCAATTCCCAAATTTACTAATCAGTATCCGTCAATTCCAGTTATGCTTTTTGGGTACAAGACACAGTGGTAACTTCTTACGGTATATCAGGTAACCCTCCTCTACATTTTCATATCTTCATTCTTCACTCCATCGGGAACTTCCCAGTCAAACCAGTACAGAAGATTTGCTATGATGGCCTCTAAAGTTGCTGGAACTGTTTTCATCGCTGGGCATGATCTACGTCCCCCTCCAAAAGGGACCATCTCAAAATTTCCTCCTCCAAAATCCACATCAAGATTCTCAAACCTCTCTGGATAGAACTCAGCCGCATTCTCACCCCAAGTGCCTGGATCTCTTCCTACCCACCACCCATTTACTAAAACACACGTCCCAGGAAGGACGCTATAACCACCAATTTGACAATGGCTTAAGCTTTCATGTGGGGATCAACAATGGGGCTGGGGGATGCAATCTTAGGGTCTCTTTCACCACCATTTTCAGGTATGACATTTTTGTAATATCCAACTCATGTACTCCTTGTTTTCTTCTAGTACAATTTCGGATTTCACTCTGCAACTTTTGCATCACTCTATGACTTCAAGTGATCTCGGACATTGCCCAAACGATCGTCACAACTGTCGTATCTGTTCCCCCGGTCAATATGTCCTGAAAACCGATTTTCATTAATTAGTTACTTAATAATTGCATAAAAATCATAAAAAAAAAATGATATTTACCATTACAAGAGCTTTGATATCTCCTTTGGTCAGCCGATCATCAGAAGGATTCTCTATCGAAGATAACTCAATTAAAGTATGGATAAAATCCTTATCATGATCATCAGTTACTTCGCCAGTTGTATGATTTTGATGGTCATCGATAATCATCTCCATGTAGGCATCCAGATTACTGAAACGTTTCTCTAACTTATAATTCCATCCACTAAACTGGTCAATAAGTTGACCAATCCATGGAAACGAATCACCAAGCGATCCGTTTAATATCTCTATGGCTTCATCAACCATGACTTTCCCATGATGGACCCTTGAGTGGTTCTTCTCTATAGTTCTTACCAAAGGCCACCTTACACACCACAGCCTTCACTATTGCTGAAAACATCTGGTTTAGGTTCACCACAGTGTTTGATGGATGTGCTGATATAGAACAAACCATGGTCTCGATCTCTGCCACCAACATATGGTTTAATAAGATAGCTCTCTTTGGACCCAGGAATTCAGATACCAAAAGCTTGCGCATCTTCTTCCAGTGATTGCTGTAAGGCGAGAAGGCAACGTCCAAATAGTCGTACGTTAGTCGCTTGGTAGCATGGGACGTTGGACGGGAACAAAAGATGATATCTTGAGTTTTAAAGACTTGTTTGGCCATGGCAGAGGAAGATATAACAAGGTAAGGCTTTGAACCAATATGTAGTAGAAAAACTGGGCCATATTTTTGGGAAAGTTGCCAAAGGGCTTGATGACGAGGTTTACCTAGCAGTTGGTGCAAGTTCCCAATTATCGGAAGCTTTGGAGGGTTTGGAGGAAGCTTAGGGACAACCATGGCCGACCTTTTAGATCTTATAGTATATAGAAAGAAGCAGAACAAGGAGAGGACTGGTAGTAATGTTGTATGTGGAAAAGTTACCTCAAATATCAAGTGGTAAATAGTTTAGGGTTATTTTCGACTTATCATTTACTATTCATAGTTTGACTATGAACAGTAATATAAGTGTGAATTTGGAAATGAGAATGGACGGTGGTTAATATTATAGTAATATATATGTGAATT